AATCCCCGCGAGGGGCATGCTGGGAGTCCCTACTTCGCGGATTTTCACCTATCGCGGCCAGGTCTGGAACGCATCTACCGCGATAAACGAGGGATTACTGTATACAGCTTTTGGCTCCTTCACCATCTCAAGATAAATCCCACCTGTGCGTACTCAGGTGCTTGTGTCTGTTTACATAAAGAAACGCCCTCAATTAACCATAATTGGTCATGCTACGTCCTCAGCATGTGAGGGAATTCTCTGTTATTTTCTCAGGAAAATTAGAAAAACTTTATTGATAATGAGATTGAGACACTGGCTGTTGAAATGCATAAGAAGTAAACAAGTTGCAGAGGTCATAAATGCGGTCAGGGCAAGGAGAGGTCTCTGTCAGAAATAAATAAAAGAATGAATCTGATAAATCGTGGAGTAACGGGTTGTTAAGGTGTTGTTCTGTTTGGAGTTGGTTTTATTTGGAAATGTTGTCTAAGCGTGCAGGCTCTTCTGAGCTGTCATTCAGTCTGGTTACCTTGGCAACGCATGGCAATGATCAGAGGAGGTTCTGGAGGTTTCTCTTAGTTGTAAAATACAAAATGAACTGGAATCATCAGGCGGATTGGTGCTGCATCTGCAATGTACCGATCTGTTGTGGTGAAGAGAGAGCTGAGCCAGAAGGCAAAGCTCTCGATTTATTGGTCGATCTATGTTCCTACCCTCACCTATGGTCACGAGCTTTGGGTAGTGACTGAAAGAACGAGATCGCGGATACAAGCGGCCGAAATGAGTTTTCTCCGCAGAGTGGCTACGCTCTCCCTTAGAGATAGGGTGAGAAGCTTGGTCATCCGGGAGGGGCTTGGAGTAGACCTGCTGCTCCTCCACATTGAGCGGAGCCAGTTGAGGTGGCTCGGGCATCTGGTCAGGATGCCTCCCTGGTGAGATTTTCCGGACACGTCCAATCAGAAGAAGGCCTTAAGGAAGACCGAGGACATGCTGGAGAGACTATGTCTCACGACTGGTCAGGGAACACCTTTGGATTCCCCCAGAGGAGCTGGTCCAAGTGGCTGGGGAGAGGAAAGCCTGGGCCTCTCTGCTTAGGCTGCTGCCCCTGTGACCCGACTCCTGATAAGGAGGTGTGACAGATTTAAAGGACGTGCATGTGGTCGACCATTCTGCCCTCCGGCCTGAAACAGATCACCCATTCAGGAAATCTTACTGCACCACATGACAAAGGTTCTATTGTCTTACCCAGTAGCCTCTGGCTATGAAAGCTACAATGGCAAATTTGGGAAACTAATTAGCTTAAAGCATTTTTTTCATGCCTCTTAGCAACATTCTAATGTAGTATAGCTATAAATATATTGTGGAGATAAAACAAATGAATAAAGTGGTTTTCTCACATTTGTCTAAAGACGGATTGGACCATCAGGTTGTTCTAAAGTAGTTGGCATCCCTGCACTTCTCTGGGTCCTCCATTCGTTACGGACTTTAATATTTAGCACTAGAACACCACTGGTGTAACAGGTTTCTCCGCTCAATAGTATCAGAAATGGAAAAGCAGCTGCTACCACTTCAACTTCAGGACAATACCCCGAAAAGAAAAACACTGTTTGAAGTGACGGAAAACAAAATGGAAAATGGGCTTGTAATTGTATAGCGCCTTGTCTGGGCTCTACAAACCCCAAGGCGCTTCACAACGCAATCAGATTCACACGCTGGTGATGATGAGCTGCGTTGTAGCCACAGCTGCCCTGGGGTCACTGACAGAGGCGAGACCTGCCATACACCAGCACCACTGGTCCCTCCTTTTCCATGTTATGTTATGCTAACCTGAAGTTATGCCAGGATGCACCAGAGTGCTCTAGCTGATGATCCTGTTAAACTTGTGTTGTCCATCTGGACACCAGAGCCTGAGATTCTTGTGATATTGACTTCTAAAGCATGAGCAGACGTTTGTTCTTATTTTTAGTTGTGCTCACTGCCGCTGTTTAAAGTCATGAATATATATGATTAAATCTGTGTCTATGTGCGTTTGCTCATTTTGTAAACACACACACACACACACACACACACACAGACACACACACACACACACACACACACACACACACGCACACAAATTCAATTTGTCTCTAACCAAAGCTAATCCACATAGGGGTTGATTGAGAACTCCAAGCCTTTCATCAGGGTGTTTCTTCTGATGCAAGCACAGAGTAGCACGCAGGCAGCTGACTGAACTGGCTTTGACTGTGTTTACTGGCGGTGTGTGTGTGTGTGTGTGTGTGTGTGTGTGTGTGTGTGTGTGTGTGTGTGTGTGTGTGTGTGTGTGTGTGTGTGTGTGTGTGTGTGTGTGTGTGTGTGTGTGCGCGTGTGTGTGTGTGTGCCTGCAGGGTCCATGCAGAGCAGCTACTCTGAAACCAGATTTTGCTTCAAGGGTTTGAATGTGATGTTGCTCGTGTGTTTGATGGGACAAAAGCAGCAGGGAAGGATTTACCGACTCACATTTACCCATTCTATTATTCCAACTGATGGTTTGAAGCCATCACTGGGCGCACGCTCAGATCTTCTAAACATGATGGACGGGAATTATTGTGTAGTGTGGATTTTGTGAGGTCAGTAAAATAAGACAAAGCAGACTGGAAGAAGTAGCGGTAGCGGCCAGTCAGTTGTTGCCTGTGAGGATATTTTTCTGCAGCCGGAGGTCAGGGATTCCTGCCAAGATGAAGTCAGTGCTCGTGTCTGACAAAGCCTCAACGGACCAGTGTCCTTTGGCGGTCACTCTGCCTCACTTTGTGTTTCAATCAAAATTAGGCACGTTGGCTGAAAGTCAATCGAGCGTCAAGCAGAAGTTTATCCTGTCCTCTTAGCTGGAAAAGAGCAGACATGCAGCTCATGCAAATGAGCCAATCTGGAAAATAATGTTTACGTGCAATTAGTTAGCACCTGGAGTGTGACTGTCAGCTACTACTGTGTGTAATGTCAACGTTTAGGTGAAGTAACCCTGACTTTTAGATTTTTTGCTGATATTGATCAGTTGTTGTGGCCATCTTAAATTGGCATGACTCCAAACTTGAATCTGCTGTGGACGTACTCACATTGATTACTTTATGGGAATTTCATTATAATTCATTCAGTGGTTCATAGAAATGTTGCTTAATTGACAAATAAAAAGTAAAGACACACAGACAAAAACATTATCACCTGCCTTTTGTCATTTAATAACAGGTGATTAATAATATAACTTAATTCACAGACTTGATTCTACTAATAGATCCCAATCTCAGTTGTTTTTGCCCGTATTTATTACAGCCATTCATGATGCACGTGAAATGCCCTGTTAGTGCGGTGTGTGTTTTCCTGAGTGTTTGTGCGAACACAACAGTAGTAAAGTAGCCTCGGGGCCTGCTCACTACTCGGCTTGAGTTCCTCAGCGGGGGTAGAGGCATCGCTCAAGCAGACACATTAATCCAGACTGAGTCAGCCAGGAGGAGCTGCAGGTAAGAAATGTGACAACAAAAACATACTTTCGTTACCGCGGTGTCGGAAGGAGGAAGGAGAAGGGAGGAAGAGCGGAGACGGGGAGCAGGAAGGATTTGAGAGGAGGTGAAGGGAACTGAAGATGGGGGGGGGGGGGGGGGGGGATAAAGGGGGAGGCTTAGAGGGAAGCGAGCACGACGGATGCTGAGTGTTGTTGGAAAATTTTGGATCCTTCTCAAACGCCAGAGGCTGTGAGTTGTCACTTAAAACATTTTCTCCACAGCAGCCCAGATTATTTCCTGATCCTCTCTGCAGTTTGTGCTTTTATTTTTATTTATTTATTATTTTTTTGCTAGTCTGGTGTGCAGGAAGAAGTGCATGTAGGAAATCATCAGTCTTTAAACTAATTAGATTATTAGGATGAAGGTACAAACCAAAATGACTTATTTTTGGTGTGTATTTCTTTCATTTTCACCAGAAGCAACATGGATTTCCATTAGCTACATAATCACTTCTTGTGTTGCTGCTTAAAAAAATCCATCAACACTAGAATTCTCCTCCACCCGTCTACATGTTTTCCTTTGTAGGCCTGATTTGTTATTACTCACTTTAATTGGATGGATTAAAATCCACTCCCCTCGTGAATGGGAAGGTTTCATAAATCACGAGCAGCAACGCGCTTTTGTTGCAAAGCTGATGTTTCTCATCTGTCCAGCTGCTCGGCAATCGATCACAAAAATGCTCATGAATCTTCTCGACAGGTTAAATGGTATTTAATTTGCAAAAAGTGAAGTGCCGACTAACTGGCTTATTGCGGCGCTGCATGGCGCCCTTGACCTTTCTTGTGTTTCGCCACGGCCGCAGCGTCTCCTGTTATCAACAGGACATGCATCAAGCCGTTTCTTTTAGGCGAGAGAAATGCAAACAAAGTGCGTTAATAGTTACAAGTCAGGAGTGTTTAAGCCACGAGTTTCCGTAATGATGGTTTTGAAACACAAACTGGATGCTGCAGAGGTGATTAGCCAGCACGCTTGTACTCATTCCTCTGGTTTACTGGAAGTATAAATGGAAGTCACCTTGGACAAGAACATCAGTGGTGGGAACGATAAGCAGCTGCATTATAAGCTTATTAATGTGATAAGGCGCGCGCCCTAATCCTGTTTAATTTTTTTTTTTACATTAGACAACAGTCTGAGGAGGGCTGCCACCTTTTCCTCCTCAGATCCCAGATGTTTTTTTTTTCTCTGCTCAGTAATCAATCAAATCCGTGGCAGACTGAAACATTTATGCCTTTCCAGTATGTTGATCTGACAGGGCGATGCTTCCAACCAGTGTTTTATAAGCTTTTCTTAGCTCTGCAGATCACCAGGAGATGACAGCAGGATGACAGGGTAGCATTTAAAATGTATACGCTTGTGCATCGTACAGTAAGACTCAAGGTTCACCCGGGTCTACGTCTCTGTGTGTTTCTGTTTAATGAGCGTCTCATGTAGCGACAGACAGCTGTGATATTGTCTACTAATGACTCTCTGGTAATTCTCTTACAGCTCCCATCAACCCTCACCTGAGTAAGTAGCGTTTTCTTTTTTACTTTGTCTCACTTTTGTGTGTGCAAACAGCAGGGAGTCGAAAGTCAGAGATCTGACGCTCCGCACGTCATGTTACTCTAAGTAGAACAAATTTAAAACACGCAACATAGTTCTTGAACTTTTCTTTAGAAACAACAACTTCCTGGGCCTTTGTTGACCTCATTCTGCTCTGCCTACTCTCCTTCTTCTGGTTTTTAAAACATCTTCTTATCGAGTGCTTGATAAACCAACAGTTGGTCAATGCGGTGGCAAAATCTGATCCAAGTTTTAGCAATTAGTGTGTAAAAAGTCATTTGGTACAAATACCGTTTATAAATCAGTCTTCAGTCACTGACAAACAGAAGAGTTTAATCCCAGGAGCAGGAGAGAATTACACTCCTTCTACAGCACATAACTTCCAGTAATAAAGAAAAAACATCTGTGGCTTTAAAGTGACAACGTGTATTTATTATCGTTAATCTCCTACAAAATGTTGCTGAAAACAAATTAAATGATTCCCAGTCAGCGGCTTCGTAACAAATAACCATAAAAATCGGGTCTAAAACGTATGGGAGCGGGTCTAAGTGTTTGGGCGACGCTATATTAGACACCATGTTTCCGTTTGCGGGAGCCCGTGAGGACAAAGTGCATTTACTGATTTGTAATAAATGGTCCCAAAAATGTCACCATTCATAAACATTATTTTTTACACATTTACCCCTTCACTCACTGATGAAAGGGAGTCTGATGTTCTTGTCGTTTTGCTGGAGGAGCAGGGATTTTTGACCCTAATGGCCATCTGTTGGTAAGGTCTTACTCAAACACAAAAATATTGCTTACTTGCAATGATTTAGGTATGTACTGCCCTCTATCGCCAAGGAAAACACACTTTAAGTCACCAGGAAAATTGAAGCCTATACAAACAGTCATGACTAGAAAATTTTCTTAAGTTATTCGTCATGAAAATCATAACTAGAATGGTTTTTTCTGAAGCATGCCTCGGTGAAAGCAAAATGCTAACAGGCTAACGTAGAATCCTCCTGATATTTTACAGAGAACATGACACCAGTGTATCTGTAATTATAACATACAGTGGTAAGATTATCAGTTAAAGGTGCAGTATGTAAGAATATAGTGAGATTTTTTTACAGTGAGAAAATCCCAAAAGAGTCTAATGTTTCAGTCATTTTGGAAGGAAGGTTATACTGAAACATATTTCATATCCAGCTGGCTGCGGGGGCTGTCATTTTTTTCTCCTTTCAAAGGAAGGAGGGATGTAACGGTTTACCAACAGTGAGTGTGTGGTTGCCATGTCTCCTGTGAGCTGCAGCGCCGACAATTGTAATTTGACGGCAGCTGGCAAAAAGCTCCAGAGTTGTTTAAAGTGGTTGCAGAAACCAAATTTCACCAAGTTATTTTTACATGGTTTCTACATAATGCACCTTTAAGGCAACAAATAAATCCAGGTATCCAGTTTTTAGCCTTTTAGACAAAAGCAGAGAGTGCTGCATTCTAGATCACTCTGTAGCTAGTTAACATGATGCTTGCCTGGTATAAAGGTCCTGCCTATTTTAGATGAAACAATAACTCCTCAACTTTGACTATAAGTGATTGGTAATACAGACATAATTAATGTTGACTGCCTATTGGAGCTGCTGTAGTGGCTGGCTGCCATTTTGCATGGGTCTCCATTTGCCCCCCAGTGTATTTATTTCTACTGACGAAGACGTTTACCTAACTAAAAAAACACATTTTATCATGCTTTTTTACAAAATCAGACATGTTATGGCATGATGATTTAAAATATTAATACAATTACATTTATTAAATTAAAACATAAAATCCCAACAGGTAGACTAGAAGACTCAATAGTTATCCTATGAGAACGTTGGTTGTTGCAACCGTAGGCTACGTTGACTCCAGTTGGGTTTGGAGAGTGAGGAACCCATCCAATATGGCGGCGACACGTTACACTCTCCAGTGCCCAATGGGGCATCTACATATTCATGTCTATGATTGAAAGTCCTGACACATTTGCTGATAAGTCTAGCATCTTTCAAGGCCAGTTAACCTGCAGAAGTAAAATAATGAAAAAAAAATGTAAGAACGTATTAAATACATTAGAATCTTTTTTTTTGGCGCTTAGTCTTTTTCACAGAATTTTTTTTTCAGTTTTTTACTTTTCCAAATTCCATATTATATTATCCAAAAAGTTTTATTTAGAAAAATAAAATACATTTTATTTTGAAGGAAAATTCCCCCCAAATAACTTATTTCGTAAGAATTTACAGTTCTTTTTCTCTTACGCCAATTATTATGGCATCCTTTTGGTGAACATTCAAAATTGTGGGTAAGTTAAGGAACTATGTTTAACCCTAATTTGGGCAAATTTCTGAATGTGTAAGCCAACAGACCCATAAAGAATAAAAGTATTTAGGCCAACTCTAGAAGAACTATTTACACATTCAGATCAATAAGGTCCAAGTTCATTCATTGTTCTGTCGCTTACCTCTTTTGCTTCATCCATCATGCTTCCACCTACAGTTTTAAGTATTCTCTGTAGCTTGATGATGTTTTAGATTGAGCCAAAAATGCTGTAAGACAATCTGCTTTTTGCATACAAATCTGCATGTCTTCAAGCCTTTTTTTTTGCGTGCATCTGTTTGTTCATATTCATCAAAGTTTAGCCTCATTTATTGTGCTTTCCACAGATGAACCTTTACAAATACACATTATTCAACGTCTTGAGAATCCACGCCTAATTGCTGTTTACCACGTCGCAGCGCTCTGTTGTGTATAGGGGATTATATATTTGTGTATAGTTGATTTTTATTTCAGTGGGTGTTCATGCAAACATTGTCAACACAATAACAAACATCCTAATCACCGGCATCATTATCCAAATCCCCACAGGAAAATATCTTACCTGAACGCCTCCTTCTCCGACCCTCCACCCTCTCCCCATCCCACAAATCCTTGTATCTCTCCCCAGCGAGGAAGGCAGAAACATTTAGATCAGCTCACGATGAGCGAGGGGGTTTTAATGTCTCGTTGTAGCCCCGCATTTAAATCTGCATAGCTATGAGAAGAGTCATGAGCTCCCGTACACCCCATGGTCTCCCAGCACCGCTGCCCTCATCCCTCTTTTCAGTCCATCCTCCTACTCTCTACCTCCATTACCTGAGTAAAAAGCTGCAGATCCCGCTCCTCTCAAGGTCACCACTCCAAACTGCTCCCAGCCTCGTTTTAATAAATCAATGAATATTTAGCAGAGCACACGCCTGCATCTAAATGCCCCGCCATTCGCTATCTCTTTGAGGATGTTTCTCAGCAGAACCGGGTCCGCTGGTTATGTGTTCTAGCTTTGTTTGTTACACGGATTAAATGGAGGCTCTGACACCGCTGATCCTGCCGCTGCCCTCTCATTAAAACGAATGCATTAGTTCCTCGCGTGCAAGATTTTTGACCATTCATTACCATGTTCACCGTGAGATGTTCTGCTCAAACTGACCTCATATAAGAGTTACAATTACCCTTTCATTTCTTAAAGGTAAGAAACCCACACCGTCATTCGGTCTACACTCTTACTGTTTTAGAAATTGCTGTCAACGGTGCGTACAGAGGTCGCATGTGAGCGGGGGGGTCTCTCGTTACCTCAGACTTGGAGAAGAAATGCAATAGAGAAGAAGGGACGGGATGCCGGTTTTCAAACTGATCACAGAAAGTGCTACAAGTGAGACCTTACAAAACACAAAAGGACAAACACTCCCTCAGCCATGTTGGAAGAATATTGTAGAAAATGATTGGCTGTTCAGCAACTTTAGGGAAACAACTATACAAAGTCACAAAATCTGTTTTCAGTGGTGCCCCTAAGTGGGGGACAGTGGGGGGCGATGCCCAGTGTGACTTTTGCAGAAGCTTATCGACACAACGCTACAGCGAAATTTGGCCATAATCACAAAGAAATATTAGACAGTGTGACCTTTTATTTTTTGATGGGCAGTCAATGCAGCTACTACATGGTAACTCGGCTTGCCTTACATTGAGCTTTGAAAGTGCTGAAACTAACAACTCGCAGTTGTCAGGAAAATGTTAAAAGCACTCAGTGGTGACTCTACTGAAGTCAGAGAGAGGTCACATCTTAATATAGAAATTCTGCTCACCAGATTGCATAATGTAATTAGGAAATAGGTTGTTGTGTACACCCCTTAGACGGGCCCGCTGCGGGAACTCTCATACATATACAGCAGGCATCAATAGAGCTCCGGGAGTTGACGTCACTTCTTCCGGCATGCAACAGTTCAAATCGAAACGGCGCCATCTTGGCAGCCAGTAGCCCGCAGCTGGGCAATTTGTTATTGTCAGAAAACTCAAATGGGAAATATGGTAGATTCCTGTTGTGCCCCAGGACGCAGAACAGACGCGGACGAGATAGGGGAAGAGCCATCTACAGGATTCCCCAACATCTGAAACACCGCAAACGTCGGATCATTGCAATAAAACGCGCTAGTGACCAGGCTAAAATAAAACTGTGGGACCCTGAGAGTAAAGGTTTTAGCTTATGCAGTGACCACTTCATATCAGGTACTTAAACCAACGTTTCCTCAACTGTATATGGTATTTATTTTAAATGCTTTTATTACGATTCTTTGTGGGCTTCCTAAACTTATTTTGGTGTGGCTTTTTCTGTCTTATTACTCATAGCAACAAGTAAACGTCACGTAAAACGTTGCCTCGTGATTTCTGTGCGCTGCCGTTTGTGTGTTCAATGATCACAGCAATTAACCGGCTAAGCTAAATTTCATTTTTAAGCAATGGTTCAACAATTGTGAGATCACACATAAAAAGCACTTTGGATTGCTATTATCTGTCTCACCGAGACAGATCTCAGACAGATCCTGAGACGCTCCTGCCTGACATATTTATTTTATTCACGGAAAAAATCAGACTAGTGATTTCTCTTGGCGTTCAATTTATACATTTAAACAGCACAGCACTCTATTTAAACTACTTACATGTAAATCTATGTTATTTGTGTTTTTGTTTAATTAGTTTTATAAATTATGAATGTCAGGGCATCTCAAATCTGGTAAGAGGTCTGCTCCGACAGCTTCTGGCGTTTTTAAAAAGTATCCCAGGGGCACGGTAAGGGTCGAAGATGTTTAATCTATTTAATTTCTGACTATATAAAACGATTTATTCGGTTTTAAAGTGTGAAGTAAACTCCGACGGAGTAAAATCCAAGCCGATCCCGTTCATTTTGTTTACCTTTGTTGCCTGCCAACATGGCGTCTACTCTCTGAGAGTCACGTGACGTCCGGAGCTCTATATGGCCTCCACACAAGTTCTCTATGAACTGTGATGATTTGAACGCTCGATTCTGCTCTGCCAACCACCAGGAGAGTTCCACTGCAGCTTTGAGGAGGAGCCCATCTGCATGTTCACCCAGGACAAGAACGATGATTTTGATTGGACGAGGCACAGCGCTGCAACCCGAGACACAAAGTATACTCCAAACACTGGTCCCAGTGCTGACCGCACTGGTTCTAAACAGGGTAAGTGGATCTAAATCTCTATTGATCACCTGTTCGTCTCATTAAAGTGGCTGTTCAAGCACACAACGTTAGTAAACTTTTTAGCAATGTTTTCCGTTTTCTAGAAATTAACAAGGCGTTAGTTTATGTAAGGCGGGTTAGAGGCTAGACGCAGGTCTGACTGCAGCCAACAGGTGGTACGTTTGGGCATCAGAAGAAGGCCCGACTACAGAGCCAGGGCCGGCTCTGGGTAATTTGGTGCCCAAGGCGAGAGTGCCCATTTGCCCCCCCCCCCCCCCCCCCCCCCCCCGCCTCTCACCCAAACCCAAGTCCACACATTGGAAAAAGCAACTCCACAGTTATTCCTTAGTTACAAATTTTTTATTTTAAATATTCACACAGCAACTCTTTAAAGTCAACAGCCTGAAGAATAAATATAAGCTTGAAAGATAAGTAACCTGAGAATATTACAATAACCGACAACTCAAAATGTTGTGCAAATGTCATTGGGGGGGATGCAAATCAAAAGCAACATTAAACTGTGCAATCAAAAGCAAAACTCAAATATCAAAGTGTCATCATAAAGAAAGTTCTACTTTCCATTTTGTTCAACTGCTGTGGCCAGTCAGCAGGATCCATGGGGCCAGCAGCTCATACATGTTCACAGACATCTGTTGAAGCTGATGATCGTGTCTCTTCAGGCTGTTGGATTGGAGCACTGAGTCTGCTGGTGTTGGGTTCTTCTTCTGTGAGAAAATAAACACACACACACAAAGCAACTTAACCCTCTGATGCATGAATTAAGAACAGTGCCACTTTCACATTCAATATTCCTCGGTCATGTGCAGTGATGCTTTTCACTATTTTTAATATTACTGGACTTTTTATTTTATTGATCTTTTTTAATCTGTTCTATGAAAACATGAATAAAATTATCAAAAACAGGTGGAAGTGGGGAATATTTGAAAAAAACTTATGTCTCACCCAATAAATTGTAGAATATGAGGAAGAAGAACCGGTGATCTGAGGCACTCTGAGGTTTTCATTTATTAAACAAGGAAACACCGACGCGCTTCGGTACGACCTTCTTCAGGGCATAAACCTTTATACCTTGAAGATGACTCACTATGTCACAAAAACTAACGTCCATCCTTTTTTACAAATTTACAGCCTAATTGACAATAACATCTTAAGGAGACAATTTCAGATGTGTAGGTTGAGATTATTTAATATTCTCAATGCTAAATCAATGCTGCACTGATTGTGCCAAAAACAAGTGTCCGGTGTGGATTTAAATAAATTAATTTTGCATATCGATATATGTGATAAGCCGTTTAATTTGAAAAAGTCCGTTTCTACTGCTGATTACAAATAGCCTAACAAGTGACTTACTCACCTGGTTCTAGATGCTGAGATTGTAGCTCAGTGCTGCGTCATGCCTGGATGAAGACGCTGCAGCATAAACAAGAAATAGACGGTATAAGATGTCATGCTGTGTTTAGGCAGTTCTCACTCCCCGACGGGCCCGGCGGCAGCGGGGGAGTCCCCGCCGCGGCGGTGCCGCCCACCCGATGTGTCGGACAAAGTTGAAAATTTGCCACAGCCACACCTAACGTTCTTCTGATATACAAATATTAAATTCATATTGTATGCGTACTTAAAACTTGAAACAACGTTCATAAAAGGCTGCAATCAAGCTCCAAAAACCAGTAAAAAATCTTACATTCCTCATCATCACAGTGAGACTCAACATTGTCTCACTGCATCTGGACACGACGATTCAAAAGTAAAATGAATGGGTTAAAGTTACAGATACTGTAATGTGTATGTAAACAGCTAGCGAGGGTCCGTCCGTGGACCGTGCCTGGCAGGAGAGGCAGTTAGCTACAATGCTAACGCAAAAAGTTCCTTTGCAAAACTTATAAAGTCTACATACCTCTGCTTTGGGCCCGTTTTTATTCTTCTTCCTTCCTTCGCTTTCGGAATGCTGATCCCGATGGCTTAGGCGTTCTTTTCCGTGTAAAATATCAAACGTTTAAACGCGACGACAACAGGATGTCCTTCACAGTGCCACCCACACACGTAACTATGGCAACCTTAACGGTCAAATGCATCGGAGCGGTGGCTCAAGCAGGAGCTCGAAATGCAGCCAGATCATTAGAATTTAAATATTGATGTTTTAATTTCATGTCATTTCAAAGGGGAATTTTGAGTATGCAGAGAGTGCATTTCATATTACAAACATGAATTTAATAAACTTTCTTTTTTTTTTTTTTTTTTGAAATTTTGCGCCCTATCCATCAGATGGCGCCCCAGGCGGCCGCCTGTGCCAAAGTTCCCCTTGTGAATGTAAGAAAAAGCAAGAGACAGATATTTCACAACAAAAATGATGGATTAAGTGTTCACAGATTACAAACCAATAGCTAAACGTATTTACATATCTGTATAAATAAAACACAAAAAAGAAAGTCCCTGTTCACTCCCAGCTCAGTTCTGATTCTTCCTTTAGGAAAAGTTCAAAAGATGCTTAGGTGAAGCCATCTGTCCATCATCACTGTTAGTCATTAGTTCCGCGGTTCATTTGTGTAGCTCGCCATCCACACAGGGAAGAACTGAGGAGATCTGACGAGGGAGGAGATCCAAAGGGAGGAAAAAAGTAAATAACAAATACAAATCTACCTACCTATCTACCTACCTACCTGACCTACCTGACCTAAAATAAAGTCAAGGCAAAAAACAAAATTAGTCAAATACAAGAGGGTAACTCTTAATGTAAATCAAAAGCAAAACAATTCATGTTACAATAAAACATGATTTTGTCCAAGCAAGTTAACTTTTGTTCAATCTGTTCGTTAGGCCTATAATTCAATTATCTCATTATCAAGAATTTCCAAATGTGCACAATTCAAATGTATCAAATTACATCAAATTAGAAGTATTCACATAAAGTGAATATTCTAATCAAAAACCACACTTTACTAGCCTGGCAAGCCAGACAACACTCCATTGACGGCTCTCGGTTGTGGGGCGGGTTCTACCGTTGCTACTGGACAATGACTGTGACATACTCACTGCAACAGCTATCGGTCAATGAGGCGGTCCGTAGTTGAAGAAGGAGAAAACATAATTTTTTTCTAAAAAAAAAAAAGCACTTAAATACTTTTATCTGCTCCTGATTCTAATGAAGCCCAAGTTCTAATAGTGCAAAATTAATGTAAAAGCCGTTTCAAACGAGCTGTCGCAATCTTGTTTCACTCTGTTGCATCATCCCACCCACCAGGCATATGGAGTGCCCTGATTGGCCCACAAAGCGGATAAAGCTCTGTGATTTGTTCACTAAGCAGATAGAGCACTATGATTGGCCCACCATTATGGACCAATCACAGCTCTTTATGTGTTTGAAACCCCTCTAGAGAGCTTTGATTGGCCAGCCAGAATGCTGTTGGGGCTGCAGAGGTTCCAGTGGAGCATTCCTGGACCAAACTTTGCAAAGCAAGAATTTGGTCTAGTTTACTAGGCTAACACTGTACACCAATTTGTTTTTTGTTTTTTTTTCCAGACAAATATTCCGACCATGCTGACCGGGTGGCTTACTGTTTTCTGCTAGTTGTGTTCCTCATTCAATGAGGAAATCAAAAAGGGAAACTCACCAAGAGTTGAGGGTTTCTTACACATACGGATTGTTGGACGGCCAGGGCCGAGGTGGGGACAGCTAGGGCAGAGTCTATGATAGTATAAAGACTGATCAACACAGGTATCCACACAGCATGTACAGGCCTGTGGGACAAAGCTGTATGTCTTAACTGGTTGTCAATCTACCTCCCTGCTTCCACAACAAGTGGTTGTTCAAGTTCCAACATAAAAAAAGGACATGAGCCGAACGATAACAATCAGAGTGCAGCAGCAACCTTGCCAACACTAGCTGGTCTTCTCAGGTCTGAGACTTGCCGGGAGAACTGGAGTGAGTTCAGATTTGCAGCAGGTGCTCATTAGTGGTGCCAAGCCCCTTGTAAAGGGGTGTGTCCATGAAGCCAGGTGAAGCTACCCATTGGTTCTGGCTAACCTGGCAACATTTACATTGCATAAATCAAAATGAATCTTGCAAATCATCTTAACAAGAAATCAAAAAATTCTTCTTCATCAGCACACCTTTCTGTTGTTTGCTGTCCGCCGTTATGTTTTTCTACGTCAGACAGCTTGTGCTTCGCAAATAAATGAAGCTCTAAATTTAACTTCATTCAAATTACCTTTCATCTTTTTCTGACGCTTTGAAAAAGCTGTTTTTCTTATTATTTTTGACGGGCTTAAAAATACTTTTTCTGACTCAAACCCAGGAAAGTCTTGATTCACCAGCAGGTCTGCAGCTCCTGCATTCCCAGTAAGCACCAGTGGCATTTAGAGCTTGAGAACCAGCGAAAGTGACTGTGACAACGCCATCATCTTTCTGAAAGGTTCGGACATGTTTTGTGGTTAACATTTGAAGCAGAGACCCAAAACGTTCCCACTTAAAAAGACTAAAAGCGCACTGTGACTCAACCTTTTGCTTCATTTCTAAACCTATCAATGACATCACAGTTTTGCACCACACCTGTTTGGTTTCACACCAAAGGTGGCCTCATTTAAAGAACTCCATTTCTATACTTTTTACTTTTATCGTTTTTTTTTTTCGCCTGCGCATAACCTAGACAGCATATTTATTCTGTTATTGATTGAACTCATGAAGCATTTGTCCAGAATCCCAACACGAAAAGGGAAACTAAAAAAAAAACTGCTCGTAAAAACTGCTCACAGGAAAACAGTTTCCATTCAGGAAAATTAAGTGAAGCCAAGAACAATTGATTTTCACTGGTTTGTCAATAATCAGCTTCATGTTGTATCACGGTGTGACGTTTGTTTTACTTCACCTTTTAATTTTAAATTGTCACATTAAATTTTGTGTGTGTGTGTGTGTGTGTGTGTGTGTGTGTGTGTGTGTGTGTGTGTGTGTGTGTGTGTGTGTTTTAATTATTTTATTCTCTTAA